CGATAGTGGCTGTCGTTGGCGATTCCACGACGGGGGTGAGGAAGTTGTTGGCGACGGGGGACGAAGATATGCGGGGGGTCGCAGGGCGGCCGGCAGAGACATTGAGAGATGGGGGTCGCTGGGTGGCGCGCCGTGACCTCGGGGAGTCCATCGATCTCGTCCGCAGGACGCCAGCAAGTTCGGCGTTCTCTTTCCCCTTTGACGACGGAGATGTTGGTGCAGAAGGATAGGGCGAGCGCGGGTAGGCGAAGAGGGCCTTGTCCAGCTTTGTCGGGCGGGACCCGGCGCGGACGACGTTTGATGCCTTCTTCGCTGGCGCGGCAGCGGCTGCAATGGGCACAAACAGCACGGGGACGTTGACGGGAGGACTTTTGACCGAGGAAAAGTCGCCCGCGTCAGGTGAATACACTCGTTGGCCCCACGCGGGCATTTCGAGTGGGTTCGGAGGCACCTTGGTGGCGCTCCGGTCGTAGGAGTTTGGCGAGTGGGTATTGAAAACTGCCGTCAAGATGGGAGTGGCGGGGAAGTGCACATGCGGAGAAGATATGGCGGGGGAGACAACGACGACGATGTTGGAGGCGAAGGCGAATGAAGTTAATTTCAGGTCGAGTGGTGACGGCCGTTTGAGGATGGGGGCAGGAGACCGCTGCTTAAGGGGTGAAGCCATTAGAGTGCGAGGCGTTGCTTGAGAAGACATGAGAGGTCGTATGATTCGTGAGGTTCGTGAAGTTTGTTTTTGAGCGTCTTGACCAGCAAGAACGCTACTGGAAGAGATATTAGATTGGGAAAGATTGGGAGGAAAGAGTGAGGGAGGAGGTTAACTCACTGTTGAACGAAGATGTGGATCGTTAAGAAACATAAGAAAACGGAGCCCGTATATAAAGGAAATGGCGCTCCTCGTCATCCGAGTCGTCATAACGTTTTTGCCCGCGTCGCCCTTTGCGGACGGGTAGCTCGACGGGTTGTCCCTGTTTCCACGCATCGCCCGACGAGCGGCGTCTTGAGCTGAGGATCGGACGAACGACGCTCCAGGGTCAAATTGAAGGAAAGTCCAAGAATATGGTCTCAGCAAACGACTGGCCAGGTCGACCTTTGAATCCGTTGAAATCCTTCATCTTCGGTCTCGGAGCCAGTCAAGGAGTCATATGGGTTGCTCTCCAAGGAGGCGGAGCTGCCTCCGACCGGAACGAACGGTGAACGGCGATTACAACGCTTGAAACGCGTTCCGTCGTCGATATTCCGTCGAGAAACGCGCGGCGATTGGATAGCATTAATATAGCCACTCCAGTAAAGGGACGATAATGTTGAAATTCAGAGGGACGAGGGAGCAGGAGGAGAAACGGGATGTGGCTGTGTAGATTTTGAAGCTCCGCCATCACAATCCCGCTTCCTCTTGTGCTCATCTGCCACAAAATCCAGAACATGTCAAGCCTGCTCAAGCAAGCTGGTTTCCATTCTGAGCGTCAAGCCGGGTCGACTGGCACCTGTTGGACTGCAACCCGACCACGGTGCAATCGGTCCGGCGTCGACTGACCAATGGGTGAAGACGGACACTCCGGTGTAACAGTCCTGGTTCAAACAATATCAGCGCTCCTGTGCCCTTTCATCGTTCGCAGTCTGCTGACCCGTCTCAAGCACACACGGTGCCTGTGGCGTATCTTATTCGTCTCGTAATTTGTCTGTTCAAGTTCGACAACCTTCCAAGTTCCACCAGATCATGGCTGTTCGTTGGTCCAAATCCTGGCAATGCGGAACTCCTTTGTACGCCACGGTCGCCTCGAGTCCCCGTTCTTCGTCAAATATCTTTGGGCGGAAGCTTCCGATGGACGCGGGGTTTCCAAGTTGGCTGTCCGACCTGACCTCGAGTAGGTATTCATCAGCGCCAGGACCCACGACGGCGCCTAAGCAAAAGAAACGTACCACCATCGCCGTGTCCTCCCCAAGCTCCATGTTCGAAAGGATGCTTGACTTCGAATAAGCCACCTTCCTCTCATCATGCATGCATTATTCATGTCTTCACCAATCTCCTGTCAGAAAACCATGTGCACATATCCACATCTGAGCACTGGACCGTCCGTAACTTAGGTCACCGTTCAATCTTTTGGACCCTCCGCATCGCAAAATTCTGCGCCCGTTCAATTACCTAGGTCTTCGAACTGAGCTCTCTGTCGCTCCGGTGGATTCTTGTACGACATTCACGCCGCCGGCGGAGGCGCAGCCATATTCCCGCCCAGCTCGCTCCTAACCCGGCTTAGCGCGCTCGCGCATGGCCTTCCCGGACGCAGAGTCTGTATCGCTACCCCGGTTTTTCAACGCCCGCCCGAACTATCAAACCCGTTCATCCAACTATCCCTTCCTCGTTAGCCTCCTCCACACATCGGACTTCGAGGCTGTGAGGATTTGAAACCGAGTCCGATATCAGAACAAACATGGGGTTGAACTAAAAGTAGCTCAGGCGGGGCGGCTACTTAATACGCCCACTTCCATTCCAACCCTAGTCGCCGCCACCATGGATGCCACACCCTATATTCCGACAACCTTTGGAGCGGTGCTCATCGGGGCGCTCTTTGCTTCAGTGTTCGTATCCATCCTCTTGGTTTATCCGTTACACCCCCTAACACCCTCTACTATGTAGTCTCTCCGGGTTCACCAACCTCCAAACGATTATTTATTACCGCTGCTACAGACGAGACCCTGTGCAGATCAAACTCCTGGTCAGTCTCCCATGCCTCACTTCACCAACCAAGTGCTAACAGCAAGTTCAGGTTTTCAGTGTCTGGTCAGTACTGGCTCTCTCTCCGCAAGTTGTGCACTACGGAGGAGACTGAATCACGCGTGATTGAAGGCTGTTGGATAACATCCACACTGCGTTCATCTGGAGCGGGACCTGGTTCTACTTCGTGGACCACTATGGGGATCGCGAAAAAATTGATCGTATCCCGTGGTACGCCCCAGTCGTCCTTGATTCTGAACATATCTCTTACGCGATCTGCAATAGGTCCATCGCAGTGCGTTGCCAAAGTTCTACTTACTATTTATTCTCTCTGACCCCGGACCTCCCTCAGCTCACCGTGATCTTAACCGTGAGCACATCGTCCAGTATTGAATAACCTCCCCGGTGAACGTGTCTTCCTTCCAGGCACTCATCACAGTCTTGGTGCACTGGTAAGCCAAATTGTTGGCATGGTTGAAGTAAAAAAATTCACTCGGCGTTCGAACCGACAGTTTCCTGACGCATCGGATTTACCTGCTCAGCAAGAAGAATTTATTCATGACCGTCCCGGTGGTGAGTGCGAAGCCTCGCTCGCCATAACAGACGGCGGATATTCAACAAATACCCATGGATTTAGCTTGTGCTCGTCGCCTTTCGTCTTGGTGAGAATCGAACTGCCCTCTGTGTTCTCATTGGCCGACAAAACGTTCGTCCATATTAGCTTGTGCATCAGGTGCGTATCTTGCGATCAGAGCTCTAAACAACAATTAATCCTCGAGTACAGTGACCACATCCAGAATGTACGCCGCATTTAATGTACACCACCACAGTTCACATGTTGAACTCTCCTCAGGCTCAACTACGAGAGCTTCGAGCTGCTCAAGTTGCATGCACGCGTAAGTGCATGTTTCGCTCGGACTCCACCAGAGGTTGATTCATTCATTCGCTATGCCCAGTGGATCTTCACCCTTGGATTGGCCGTATCCTCAACCGTAGACGTCCTCATCTCGGGTTTCCTCGTTTACTTGTTTCGATCAAATCGAACAGAGATCGGACGGCGAGTCCTTGAAATTAACCGACCCGGGGTGTAAGTAATATTGACACTTGGGATGCAGCTTCAATGACATCCTCGACAAACTGCTCCTCTACGGCCTCGAGTCCGGTTCGTCTTTACTTTTGCTCGACACATACCTGGAGGCATTCTGAATTCAATGCCGTTTAGGTTCTTTGACATGGTAAATCCGCGGTGGTGCCAACCCATAACCCGGGCTGACTGAACACAACCAGTTTTGGCAGCATCGTCTCCATGCTATGCGTATGTCATCCATCCGATCCGTCGTCGGTCTGCTCCAACATCCTGACTGTTACCTTCCAAGTCGGTCCTCATTCCCCAGAATCTGATATTCCTGGGGCTGTATGTCGTGATTGGGAAACGTACGTCGTTCAATTCTGATACCGTGCGGGCAGCGGATACTCACATGTCTTCCCCCAGTCTATGCCAACTCATTATTTGTAACGTATGCGGACTGCGCACGCCCTCGACTCAGCATTAACCCCATCCCCACATAGTTTGAACACCCGGAATAGCATCCGCGAGCAAGACCAAGAGAGATCTGTGTTGTATTTGGAGCAGCGCCGACTGCCGCTGGGGACGAAGTCTTCCGTATGTCCCGTCGCCACCTCGCGCAGGATGAAGTGATACTAATGCAATTTCTGTGCCAGCGCTCCTCCACACCGCCCATGGTATCTATTCCGTTCTATCAAAATTAAGCTGCATGCGAACTAATCTCGCTTCATTCAAGGATCTGGAAGTCAATGTGGAGACCCAGACGAAGGTCCATTATGACGTGAGGTCCATCGGGAGCTCGAAATGAGCAGGGATGTAATTTATGTGTTCGGCCGCGGGTCGGCGTGTAGCTCAAATTTAATGTTTTCAGATACTGTATGAATCTCCTTGTTATATTCAGAGTAATAAACAGTCTCTCACCGGGTCCTCGTTAATCGGTTTTATTATTGGGTGTTGAATGCGAAGCTCTGAAAATAAAGATGTGGAGATAAGTAGTACAACACGTCGTGAACTGGGGAACCAAGCGAAGAAGAATACAATGTTGGGTGGGGTTCGACTGGGTTCCTTGCAGATCCAGACAATGGCTACAGTATACTCGCCTCTCATTCCGCCCGCGAATAAAAGAGTGGACCAGACACTGCGACGTATCCACTCGCGGTTTTTAACCCCAGGTATGGTATTGCGACCAAGTTAGGGGCGCCAGCATCGCCGCATGAAATCAATGCCCTCAGGGAATCGAACCCTCGACCACTTCGATTTAAGGTGGTCTGTCCAGCGGCGTCATTACCGACTGAACTAAAGGCGCATTGTAGATGCAGATCTGCGGTGTGCCGCGATGGATAGTTTGAGGGCACTCACGGAAAGAGGCTCGAGAGTCTGGGACATTTCCTGCACCTTGACTCTGATTTGGGAAAACTCGGCGCATGAATGGCACCGAATGCAGCGAATGAAAGAACTGCCAGGTACAGGCTGGTCGGCGCAGAGTTTCAGGCCTGCGTCCTACCTTCACCCGTTTCTTGTCCGTTTCAGTCGTTAATCCTACCGGGTCTTTGTAGGTCTCGCCACTAATTAAGTTACTTGGTATCCTAGTTCATTACAACGATAACCTCAAGCTCGAAAACAGCAGGCGATGGAAACACAGCAACTTCTTCATTTCTTCGCGCAGAAAAAACGCATAGAAAGCACCATACAAGCCTCGATTCGTGCAGTCGCTGTTACTTGGACCTAGCAGTCAATCCTTGCGTGCACCCAATTCACGCGTCGGGTCACCTGACCGTGTTCTTGGAGTTTGATCCAATCGAGTCACAGAATTTCGCCAAATTTGGATGCTTTTCCACCTTGTCCAAACCCATCGATTACCCTTGCTTCGTCTGGCCAGACGCTCACTCTCGATGGCCTCCATTGAATCCATCTCAGAGCAAATCAGCACCCAGACTGCCCTCTTCAACCAGCTGCGTCTGCAAAATGCAGAAGCCTCGGTGCTTGACGAAGCGAAAAAGAGACTTGGGGAGCTCAAGAAGTCATTAGCGCTGTCCAAGGGCTCCGACGGGACTTCTGGAGCAGCTGGGGCTAAAAAACGCGAGCGCATCCTGCTGAAAACCGCCAAAGTCAGCCCATGAGTGTACACCTATCACCCAAACCTCAATTACTCAAAGCAGGCTCGCAGGGCACTCGCGACTATGGTCCAGCAGAAATGTTCTGCCGGGAAAGCATAGAGCGCACAGTCAAGGACTGCTTCACGACATACGGCGGCAGCTGTCTCGACACGCCCGTTTTTGAGCGGAAAGACATCTTGGCGGGAAAATACGGCGAAGATGCGAAGCTCATATTCGACCTCATGGACCAGGGCGGGGAGCAGCTCGCGCTGCGATACGACCACACTGTTCCGTTGGCGCGATACCTGGCTATGACCGGCGCGACGAATCCCCAGTCCAAGCTGTGGCAAGTCGGCAAAGTCTACCGCCGAGACAACCCCGTCGTCTCCAAGGGTCGCATGCGGGAATTCTCGCAGGCGGTGAGTCTCCCTCCGAGTCCTGTCTCCGCCCTCCTCTAATTTCAGCCGTTCTAGGACTTTGATATATGCGGGACATGGGATGCAATGATTCCAGACGGGGAGATCGTTAGCCTGATATGCACCGTCCTTGGCAAGCTGGATGTCGGTGAATTTACCGTCAAGGTGCGTCTTTCTTTTTTGACTATGGTCGAACCTGCGACTCACCTCCGCAGATAAATCACCGAAAAATATTAGACGGTGTCTTCGAAGTGTGCGGTGTCCCCACGGAGAAGATTCGACCGATATCATCGGCGGTGGATAAACTGGACAAGGTAAATTTACTCGCAGTAACCCAGAGTGGGCCGCCCTAATCTCGAGCGCAGCTCCCCTGGTCCGAAGTGAAGAAGGAGATGACCGAAGAGAAAGGGCTGGACCCCGCTGTCGCAGACAAAATTGGAGAATATGTCAAACACAAGGGTAATTTCCATTCTACACCCTGCGCCCGTCGACTGACGTTCCCCAGGCGGCCCAAGTCTCCTCGAACAGCTGTCGGCCGACGAGGCGCTGATGGCCAACGCCAGTGCGAAGCAAGGTATAACGGAGATGAGACTGCTCTTCACATACCTCCGCGCCTACGGCGTTATCGACAAGGTAGGCACACCCCAATCTCGTCGCACTATCACTGACTCCGACGCAGCTCTCCTTCGATCTTTCCCTCGCCCGCGGACTGGACTACTACACCGGAATAATCTACGAAGCCGTCGTCGAGGCGTCCGCACCACCGAGCTTCAAAGCAGACGCAAGCGCCCCCGCCCCGCCGAAGAAAAAGGCGAAGAAGCCCAAGACCGACGAGGACGACGAGGAGGAGATTGACGAGTCGCAGGTCGGCGTTGGGTCGATCGCCGCCGGGGGGCGGTACGACGGGCTCGTGGGGATGTTCACCGCGGCGGCTTCCGCGGACGGGAAGAAGGTTGCGGGGCTGCCGTGCATCGGGATCAGCTTCGGGCTGGACCGCATCTTCGCGCTCGTGTGGCCCAAGTGGGTCGCCAAGGGCGGACGGTCGAAGGAGACGATGGTGTATGTGATGGCGGCGGGTGATGGGCTGCTCGAGGAGCGGATCGCGCTTGTGCGCGAGCTGCGGGATGGGGGGATCAAGGTCAGTGTTTTGCGCGTTGATATCCTGGTGTTGTTAGCTGACCACGGCGGACCCGCAGGCTGACTTTTTGGCGAAGAAGAAGCCGAAACTGACCGCACAGTTCGCAGCTGGGGAGCTGGACGAGGTGCCCTTTGCGATTATCTTGGGCGCGGACGAGCTCAAGAGTGGGGATGTCAAGGTCAAGGAGCAGAAGTGGGAGATCGTGAGCGGGGAGAAGAAGAAGATACAGGCGGAGCAGGGGGATAGTGGGACGCTGGTGAAGCGGCAGGGGTTGGTGGAGTGGATTAAGGCTACAGCGACATTTAGAGAGCTGACGGAGAAGTAGCTAAACGTGTATGATATAATTATAAAACGCCGTTGAGGTCCGTTGCGGGACGGTGAGCACAGCGAGGACGATGTAATTGCCAGCGAGTACGTCGTCGTCGTCTTGCACAGCGAGTACGTCGTCGTCGTCTTGCAGATTCACCGACAGAACTGAGCTGACGCTGCTGTGATTGTCTCGGCTGCCTTTTAACCGGTGCCCGGGCGCCGCGTCCGTCTTTTTGGCAGACACCGCCATGACCTCCGCTCCTCAAAGTGCCGACCCCGATGTACCGAGGAAGACCGAGGATGACTACGTGCTAAACGCCCGGGGTCGCTACGCTGCAACTGTACAATCTCAGTATGTTGAAGATCCCCGCCTCGGTGGGATATGTGACTCCGAGGCGGCACTTTGCAATCCACGCGTACCCTGCGCAGGTTGGTTGAGAATGAGCTCGGCCTCTTGCTTGCTAACGAGTGTATGACCGACGTTGTCCTCACCTTTCTGTGGACTCGCAAGGCAAGGCGGAGTCCGACCTGGCACGGATCCGGCCACTGATGACACGCCGAATTGGACGAAAGCCTGCGCGCACACCGGTCTGACTTCATCTGGTGTCGATAATATCCGTCTAGGGTTGTCGTATATATAACCGTGCTATGCTTTGGTGCTCCTTTCAATTCATCGCTCAAATGGCTGGGCCTTCCCGAACACCGGCGTCTACCGAACTTGCGTTTGAACATAGTCTTCACAGAAATCAAGCTTGTGCGTCCTGCCGCAGGCGACGAATCGTATGTTCTCCATCCTGCTTTCTCAACAATTTGTTGTCTGACGTATCCCACTGAATTCAGAAATGCGACGCACGGTTGGCAATTTTTTCTTCCAAAAATTCTTTTCAACTCATACAGTCATTCTATAGTCGCCCAGTTTGCGGCCCATGCGAAGTTTCATCTCGTGCGGACGACTGCGAATACACAGACAACCAAAATCGTTCCAGAGCGGATATCTTGGAGGAGGATATCAGCCGAGTACAGGACCGCATATACGAGCTGGAGCATCCAGTGGAAGCCGCCGGCGCAGCTGTGTTTCTATACCATCCGTATAGACAGCCTCGGCGTCGTCTCCAGATGCCCAGTTTCTCTCAAGTTCTCACGTCCTCGGCCTCGCCGTGTATGTTTCTTCAATATTTTCTGGTTTGGATTGCATTACTTATTATCGTGATCGCAGCGCCCGAACCACCCTCGACCGTCGACGCCTGGTGGGACTCTCCCGACCCTCCCGCCAACATGGTTGAAAATTTGTAAGCTGCCTCCGTTCAATCTACCGGATCTCAACTAATTCACACTCAGTCTCGATACGTTCATTCCCTACGCCTCCGACTGGGGATTCTTCCTCGACACCGCTCGCTTCCGCCACGATGCCTCGCTCCCCCACCCAATCGGCCACCACTCAAGACCGACTCCCGCGCTATTATACACAGTGTATCTCATTGCCATCGCGCTTTCGGACTCGCCCAGTTTAAAGATGCACGAAAAGAAATTCCTCTCGCGCGCCCTGTCCGCCTTGCCCGTCTCGCTATCCGGACTCCATCCGCAGAAGGCGATCCACGCCCTGCAGGCTGAGGTACTCCTGTCAAACTACTTTTACGCTGCCGGCAGATTTTTGGAGGGGCGGTATCACACTGCCGCCGCTGCCTCGCTCGCACTTGGCGGTGGGCTGTTGGGTGTTGGCCACCGCGGTGAGGCCGAGGCTCATGATCACGACGAGGCGGAGTGTATGGAAGGCCGTTGGGCAACAATTATGTTGGATAAATCGTGGGCGGTGGCGTTGGGTACGTATCCCGATTTACCGGATTCGCTTGATATGCAGTGGCCGGGCGAAGAGGTAGGTTCAATTCCACTTTTTGGCGCTTTTATTGACGCGGTTTGTAGGCTTCATCATCGACCGTGTCTCAATTTCTGGAGGGCACGCAAGCTTTCGTTGGTGCTCTGTCTCCGAAGACTCTTCTTGCCAAGGCAGTCATACTCTGGGAACGAGCTAACAGTCTGGTCGTCGGCTGGAATCCAGGTGTGTTTCTGCGTTCAACTACGGTTCAACTCTGACTCCTTCTTATCAACAGACATGGACCAGCGCCAGGCAGCCGAATTTTCCAGCGCGTTCAATCACATAGACGGCTTGACAGAAGACCTTTCGAGCACACAGCCTGCCCCGAGTTCCGATTCTGCCGGCGGTCGTCGCCTATGCGTCGTTGCGCACAGCGTCGCACATGCCGCCGTGATTCAACTGCACGGGACCTTCGCACCCACAAATCCTCAATCAAAGCAGAAATGCCTCACCGCTGCCAGTGCGATTCTCGAA